TAATATTTTTTTAAGGATTAGGGGGTTAATTATTATTTATCTATTATTTTTTTTTTAAATAGCAATAACATATGCATAAATAAATGTAAAATAAATACACAAATAATTTAAAATCATCATCAATAAAATACATTAATAATATGTAATAATAAACAGTAATTAACCCCCAAACTTAACCCCCTAACCCTAAAATAATAATATATATTAAATAAATTATTATTAATAATAATGATAATTTATTATTAATAATAATAATAATAATAATAATAGTTATGATAATTATTTATTTGTGTTAGAGTTGGGTTGTTTTTATTATTATTATTATTATTATTATTTATTATTATCATCATAATAATAATAATTTTTTTTAAGGATTAGGGGGTTAATTATTTATTTATCTATTTTTTTTTTAAAAATAGCAATAAATTATGCATAAATAAATGTATAAAAAATAAATACACAAATAATTTAAAATCATCATCAATCAATCAATAAATATAAATAAAAATATTAAAATAATATGTAAAATAATAAATAAATAGTAATTAACCCCACAAACTTAAAATAATAACCCTAAAATAATATATATATTTAAATAAATTATAAAAATTATAATAAAAAATAATTTATTATTATTGTTATTATTATTATTAGTAATAAATTAATAATTTTTATTATTATTATTTATTTTGTGTTAGTTTTGGTTTGTTTGTTTTATTTTATTATTATTATTATTATTATTATTATTATCAAAAATAATAATAATAATTTTTTTTAAGGATTAGGGGGTTAATTATTATTTATCTATTATTTAAATAAATTATTATTATTATTATTATTATTATTAATAATGAAATGTATTATTATTATTAAATTATTTAATAATAATTATTATTATTATTAATTTATTTTGTTTAGGGTTGGGTTGGGTTTTTTTATTATTATTATCATCAATAATAATAATAATTTTTTAAAGATTAGGGGGTTTAATAATATTTATCTATTATTTTTTTTAAAAAAATAAAAATAATTTTTATACAAAAATAAATGTAAAAATTTTTAAATAACAAATAATTAAAAAATTCATCATCAATCAATAAATAAAATATTTAATATTAATATTAATAATAAATTAATAAAAAAGTAATTAAGAAAAACTTAACCCCCTTACCCTAAAAAAAATATATATTAATAAATTATTAATATTAAATAATTAATAATAATAAATTTATTTATATTATTAATAATAATATTAATGGTTATTAATATTATTTTTATTTATTTTGTGTTAGGGTTGGGTTTTTTTTATTATTGTTATATTTTTTATTATTATTATTATCATCATAAATAATAATAATATATTTTTTAAGGATCAGGGGGCTAAGTATTATTTTTATTAAATTTTATTTAAAAAAAAATAGCAATAAATATGCATAAATAAATGTAAAATAAATACACAAATAACTTAACTTAAAAATATCATCAATCAATAAATAAAATACATTAATAATATGTAATACAAAATAAATTAATTAATAAATACATAAAATTGTAATTAACCCCCCAAACTTAACCCCCTAACCCTAAAATATATATATATAATTAAAATAAATTAATTATTAATAATGATAATTATTTATTATTATTAGTAATAATAATAATAATAATGGTTTATTATTATTATTTAATTTTTTTTGTGTTAGGGTTGGGTTTGTTTTTATCATTATTTATCATCATCAATAATATAAATTAGGATTAGGGGGTTATTATTTATCTATTAAAAAAAAAGCAAATAGCAATAACAAATGCATATATAAATGTAAAAAAAATTCACAAATAATTTAAAATCATCAAAATCAATAAAAAAAAATACATTAAACATTAAATAATAATTACTAATTAATAAATGTTTAATAAAAAATAAATAGTAATTAACCCCCCATTTTAACCCCCCTAAAAAAATAATATATATAATTAAATAAATTATTATTATTATTATAATTAATTTAATTTTTTATTTTTATTAATAAAATATTAATAATAATAATAAATTTTTTATTATTATTATTATTTATTATTATTATTATTTTTTTTGTGTTAGGGTTAGGTTGTTTAATTATTATTATTATCATCATCATCAATAATAATAATATATTTTTAAGGATTAGGGAGTTAAATTTTTATCTATTATTACAAATTGTTCATTCATTGTATAATAAATTTACTATATAAAATTTATGATTATTTAGATTTATTACTATTTTTATGTATATTTATTATTTTTTTAACCCTAAACCAAAAATAAATAAATAAATAAGAAGAAAACAATACATAAAATATTAACCCCATTCTACCCTACTCTAACAAAAAAAAAAAGTTGTAATAAATGAATAATAATAAAAAAAAAAAAGAAAGCTGATGGAAAAGCTAAAGAAGCTTGAAACCTATCAACAAACAATGCAATAGATGATATATTTTTTCCCTATTGGCTAATAAAAAAATGCCAAAGCTCAAAAAACGCCTGAAAAAACGCTGTATGAAACACGCATAAACGCTCAAAAGTTGGGCAAAATAAGTGTGAAAATTGCTCAAAGACGCTACGCTTAATTAAATTGAATCCAGACACTCCTACCAGCGGTTTTTGATGAGATCTCATATATGCCAGAGAGATGGCGCCGCCATCTTGACTAAGGGAAGCCAGAAGTGAAGCCTTGCATCTTTTTTTTTCCTACTGCGTATTAAAAAGCAGGCTGCGCTTTGTGAATGGTTTGAAGTCCTCAGGGAGCTGTGAAATGTGGGTGGGGGGGAGTTTCTGGCTCAGTACGCCGCAAACTGAGCTGGAAGTGGGAGCGGGTACCTGTCAAAACCAGGTACTCGCTCCCCCCCCAAAAGGTGCCAAAGGTGGCAGCAGAGAGAGGGCAAGTAAAATGGGCGACCCAGTACCTCCGGCTTAATGATGTCACATAACCACGCCCCTACAAACGTGACAACGCACGTACACAGAATAGCACCAGTTGCACAGCTCCCAATATACACAACATCTTTTTTGGCACACTGGCTTTATGACAGTCGGTGCTCCCTGTGACTGTGCGTGCAGCCTTGTGCTGCCATCTCTTGGCGTGTTACAAAGCTGGTCTCAAAAAACATTTTGATACCAACTCGTATAATTTAGTCTATCATTTACAATAACACCGCAGTTTTTTTTTTTTGAGTCCCCTCCGTGATGTAGTTTTATCCTGCCATTATTTTTTTTTGCATTTACTGTCACCGTCCAAATTGTAAAAAAAAAAAAAATGGCAGTTACGGGAGTTGGGGCAAACCATATTACACTAAGAGGGGTGCTCAGAATGGTCAGCTATTATCCATAGAGCTTAAACATATGAGAAGAAAAATCATTTATCGTTGGCACCCCACCCATATGGAAGAAATATAATAATATTTCTAATATATTTTAAAATTATTCTTCCCAAATATATTGATATATATTTGAAATGCTACAATTTTGGCCGTATTCAATATATTTCAAAAATATATTTCAATAAATGAAAATATATAATAATATATATATATATATATATATATATGTGTATTATTATATACAGGATTTATATTATTAATACAGGATTTATAATATTATTATACAGGATTTATTATTATTATTATTATTATTATTATTATTATACAGGATTTTTTTATTATTATTATTATTATTATTATACAGGATTTATATTATTATTATTATTTTATTTACAGGATTTAATTATTATTATTATTATTATTATTATTTTATTATACAGGATTTTATATTATTACAGGATTTATAATATGATTATACAGGATTTATTATTATTATTATTATTATTATACAGGATTTATATTATTATTATTATTATTATACAGGATTTATGGCGCCAACAGTTTGCTCAGCACTTTACAATATAACGGGAGACAATACAGCAACAATACAGTTCAATACAAGAGGGATAGGAGGGCCCTGATCCTGGGAGCTTACAATCTAGGATACATACTGCATGTTGAAATTTTATTACAAAATATATGAAAAAAATATTTTTAAAAATAAATTTCAAAATATATTGTATGTCTTTAAAAAAATACAAATCTACATTTTTGGAATGCATTTAAAATAAAAAAAATAAAAAATATGTCAAATTTTTTTTTTTTTTTATATGTTAAATAAATTCTGAAGAATATATTTAAAAAAATATATATTTTTAAAAAATATATTTCTTTAAATATATTGTTCAGATTTTTTTTTAACATATAAAAAAGTAATTTTAGCATATATTTTTTACATATATCTGTAAATGCATTCCAAAAATGTGGATTTGCATTTTTAAAGACATACAGTATATTTGCAATTTATTTTTAAAAATATCTTTCATACATTTTGTAATAAAAATGCATTTCAACATGCAATATACATATTTGAAAATAATATATATATATATATATATATATATATATATATATATATATATATATATATTTATTTTTTTTTTTTTTTTAATTTATATAACAAAATATATGAAAAAAATACTTTTAAAAATACATTTTCAAATATACTGTAAGTCTTTAAAAATACAATTAATCTACATTTTTAGAATTAATTTACAAATATATGTAAAAATATATGTTAAAGTGACTTTTTTTATATGTTAAATTAAAAAAAAAAAAAAATATATATATATATATATATATTTTTTTTTTTTTTTTTTTTTTTTTTTTTTTTTTTTTAAGTATACTGAATACGGCCATTGTAAATGCATTCCAAAAATGTAGATTTTATTTTTAAAGATATACAGTATATTTGCAATTTATTTTTAAAAATACCTGTCATACATTTTGTAATATATACTGTATATACTCGATTATAAGCCGACCCGAATATAAGCCGAGGTACCTAATTTTACCACAAAAAACTGGGAAAAACTATTGACTCGAGTATAAGCCGAGGGTGGGAACACCAGTGGGAAGAATCGTGCCTCATCATTGGTGTCAGTGGGAGGAATAGTGCCTCATCATTGGTGTCAGTGGGAGGAATAATGCCCCATCATTGGTGTCAGTGGGAGGAATAGTGCCCCATCATTGGTGTCAGTGGGAGGAATAGTGCCCCATCGTTGGTGTCAGTGGGAGGAATAGTGCCCCATCGTTGGTGTCAGTGGGAGGAATAGTGCCCCATCGTTGGTGTCAGTGGGAGGAATAGTGCCCCATCGTTGGTGTCAGTGGGAGGAATAGTGCCCCATCGTTGGTGTCAGTGGCAGGAATAGTGCCCCATCATTGGTGTCAGTGGGAGGAGGAATAGTGCCCCATCATTGGTGTCAGTGGGAGGAATAGTGCCCCATCATTGGTGTCAGTGGGAGGAATAGCGCCCCATCATTGGTGTCAGTGGGAGGAATAGTGCCCCATCATTGGTATCAGTGGGAGGAATAGTGCCCCATCATTGGTATCAGTGGGAGGAATAGCGCCCCATCATTGGTGTCAGTGGGAGGAATAGTGCCCCATCATTGGTGTCAGTGGGAGGAATAGTGCCCCATCATTGGTGTCAGTGGGAGGAATAGTGCCCCATCATTGGTGTCAGTGGGAGGAATAGTGCCCCATCATTGGTGTCAGTGGGAGGAATAGCGCCCCATCATTGGTGTCAGTGGGAGGAATAGTGCCCCATCATTGGTATCAGTGGCAGGAATAGCGCCCCATCATTGGTATCAGTGGGAGGAATAGTGCCCCATCATTGGTATCAGTGGGAGGAATAGTGCCCCATCATTGGTGTCAGTGGCAGGAATAGTGCCCCATCATTGGTATCAGTGGGAGGAATAGTGCCCCATCATTGGTATCAGTGGGAGGAATAGTGCCCCATCATTGGTGTCAGTGGGAGGAATAGTGCCCCATCATTGGTGTCAGTGGGAGGAATAGCGCCCCATCATTGGTGTCAGTGGGAGGAATAGTGCCCCATCATTGGTATCAGTGGCAGGAATAGCGTCCCATCATTGGTGTCAGTGTAAGGAATAGCGCCCCATCATTGGTGTCAGTGGAGGAATAGTGCCCCATCATTGGTGTCAGTGGCAGGAATAGCGCCCCATCATTGGTATCAGTGGGAGGAATAGTGTCCCATCATTGGTGTCAGTGGAGGAATAGTGCCCCATCATTGGTGTCAGTGGGAGGAATAGTGCCCCATCATTGGTGTCAGTGGGAGGAATAGTACCCCATCATTGGTATCAGTGGCAGGAATAGTGCCCCATCATTAGTTTCAGTGGGGGGAATAGCACCCCATTATTGGTGTCAGTGGAATAGTGCCCCATCTTTGGTGTCAGTGGGAGGAATAGTGTCCCATCATTGGTGTCAGTGGGAGGAATAGTGTCCCAACATTGGTGTCAGTGGGGGGGTGGAGGAATAGTGCCCCATCGTTGGTGTCAGTGGGGGGGAGGAATAGTATCCCATGATTGGTGTCAGTGGGGGGTGGAATAGTGCTCCATGATTGGTGTCAGTGGGGGGTGGAATAGTGCCCCATCATTGGTGTCAGTGGGGGGTGGAATAGTGCCCAATCGTTGGTGTCAGTGGGGGGGTAGGAAAAGTGCCCCATCGTTGGTGTCAGTGGGAGGAATAATGCCCCATCATTGGTATCAGTGACACCAATGATGGGGCACTATTCCTCCCACTGACACTTGCTGGCCCCTGTTCCAGTATGGTGCTGCTGCAGCCAGCATATGTGGTTGCAGCAGCACCTAAGCACGGCACACTTACCTGCATCTCCTTCACTCGATTTTCGCGGGGCCGCTCAGCTCCGCCTCCTCGCCGGTGATTGGCATCCTGTGTGCCTTTCCTGAGCTACAGTTCTGGCGGCCAATCACCGGTGAGAATGCGGAGCCGAGCAGCCGCGCGAACATATAGTGGACGAACCGAATGAAGGAGCAGCCGCGCTTCCTGGACCGGATCGTCGTGGGACCGGAGCCAGGTAAGAGACAGCAGCCCCCTGCCCACCCCTGTACTTACCGTAGTTTCCCTTCTGTTGGAAGGGGGGGGAGCCATCTATAGACATTGACTCGAGTATAAGCCGAGGGGGCCGTTTTTCAGCACAAAAAATGTGCTGAAAAACTCGGCTTATACTCGAGTATATACGGTATTTAAAAAATATATATATATTTTTTTTTTTATTATTTATATAACAAAATATGAAAATATTTTTAAAAATAAATTTTCAAGTATACTATAAGTCTTTAAAAATACATTTAATCTACATTTTTAGAATGTATTTACAAATATATGTAAAAATATATGTTAAAATTACTTTTTTATATGTTAAATAAAAAATATATATATATATATATATATATATATATATATATATAAATATATTTTGAAGTATACTGAATACGGCCATTGTAAATGCATTCCAAAAAGGTAGATTTGTATTTTTTAAAGACATACAGTATATTTGCAACTTATTTTTAAAAATACCTGTCATACATTTTGTAATATATATATTAAAAAAATATATATATATATATATATATTTATTTATTTATATAACAAAATATATGAAACATATTTTTAAAAATACATTTTCAAGTATACTGTAAGTCTTTAAAAATACATTTAATCTACATTTTTAGAATGTATTTACAATTATATGTAAAAAATATATCTTAAAATGACTTTTTTTATATGTTAAATAAAAAAAAAAAAAAAATTATTTATATATATATATATATATATATACAGTTGCAAGAAAAAGTATGTGAACCCCTTGGGATTACGTGGAGTTTTGCATGAATTGGGCATAAAATGTGCTCTGAATGTCATCTAAGTCACAACAATAGAAGAACACAGTCTGCTGAACATAATACTACACAAACATTAGATGTTGCCATGGTTTAATTGCACATAACATGTAAACATTCACAGTGCAGGGAGGAAAACATATGTGAACCTTTGGACTTAATAACTGGTTGACCCTCCTTTGGCAGCAATAACCTCAACCAAACGTTTCCTGTAGTTGCAGATCAGACCTGCACAACGATCTGGAGTCATTTTGGACCACTCCTCTTCACAAAACTGTTTCAGTGTAGCAATATTCTTGGGATGTCTGGTGTGAATCGCTCTCTTAAGGTCATGCCACAGCATTTCAATCGGGTTGAGGTCAGGACTCTGACTGGGCCACTCCAGAAGGCGTATTCTGTGCTGTTGCAGCCATTGTTTTGTTGAATTACTTGTATGCTTTGGGTCATTGTCCTGTTGCATCACCCATCCTCTGCGGAGCTTCAGTTGGCAGACAGATGGTCGTACGTTTTCCTGCAAAATGTCTTGATAAACTCTGGAATTCATTTCCCATCAATGACAACAATCCGTCCAGGCCCTGAGGCAGCAAAGCAGCCCCAAACCATGATGCTCCCTCCGCCATGCTTTACAGTGGGGATGAGGTTTTGATGTTGGTGTGCTGTGCCTTTTTTTCTCCACACATAGTGTTGTGTGTTCTTCCCAAACAACTCAATCTTGGTTTCATCTGCCCACAGTATATTTTGCCAGTAGTGCTGTGGAACATCCAGGTGCTCTTTTGCATACTTCAGACGTGCTGCAATATTCTTTTTGGACAGCAATGGCTTCCTCCGTGGTGTCCTCCCATGTACTCCATTCTTGTTTAATGTTTTCCTTATTGTAGATGTGTCAACAAAAATGTTAGCATGTGCCAGAGATTTCTGTAGGTCTTTAGCTGACACTCTGGGATTCTTCTTTACCTCATGCAGCATTCTGCGCTGTGCTCTTGCAGTCATTTTTACAGGACGACCACGCCTAGGGAGAGTAGCAACAGTGCTAAACTTTCTCCATTTGTAGACAGTCTGTCTTACCGTGGACACATGAACATCAAGGCTTTTGGAGATACTTTTGTAACCCTTTCCAGCTTCATGCAAGTCAACAATTCTTGATCGTAGGTCTTCTGAGAGCTCTTTTCTGCGAGGCATGGTTCACATCAGACAGTTCTTCTTGAAACCAGTAAACCCAAAACAGGTGTGTGTTTTTTAAGGGCAGGACAGCTGTCAGCAACACATCCAATATCATCACACTGATTGCAGTCAAGGTTGGCTCACTCCTGGCTCCAATTAGCTCTGGGAGAAGTCATTAAGCTAGGGCCTCACATACTTTTTCCTCCCTGCACTGTGAATGTTTACATGTTATGTGCAATTAAACCATGGCAACATCTAATGTTTGTGTAGTATTATGTTCAGCAGACTGTGTTCTTCTATTGTTGTGACTTAGATGACATTCAGAGCACATTTTATGCCCAATTCATGCAAAACTCCACGTAATCCCAAGGGGTTCACATACTTTTTCTTGCAACTGTATATATATATATATATAAATATATTTTGAAATATAGTGAATACAGCCAAAATTGTAGCATTTCAAATATATTTGTCTTCCATGTGGGCGGTAGGGACAGATACAGCAGTAAGCACCCAACTGGACCATCAAGCTTTTCACATTCCATCAAAAAAGGAAACAGAAAGTTCCGTCTGCAGTTACACGGTAAAACACGGGGGAATTTCTCCCACAATATCTTGTGATAATCACACGGCAGAACTTACAACATCCATATACTGGAACTGTTTGTGAAAAAAAAAAAAAACAGAGTTCTTCAGAACGATGGAGGAACCTGACTAATGCAGGCCATACATGTTTCGAATTCTGAATGATTTTTCATCCGAAAATTGTAAATGTCATTCGCTCGGTAATCCGACGGCGCCATCAATGATTTTGAAAATTGGCCGACCGAGCCATAAAGTTCTCCCCATATAACAGGCTAAACTTGTGTTCCTTGCAGATCACGTCTCGTGCGCGTATTCTTTTCGGAAAAAACGATCGTGCGATTTGACCATCATTGAGTCGGTCGTTTTTCAGGAATTTTCCAACACATCCGATCACCGAAAAGGGGAGGAACCACGAAAATCGGCCGGTGCCATTGACCCCACTAACAGAGCGAAAATCGGCTGATTATTCTTAGGTTCAATTTTTGGATGAAAAATCGGTCGAATTTTGACCCATGTATGGCCAGCCTAATGCATCGTACAAGTTCACTAGTGTCTGGTAAACCACCATCATCCTGCAACCCGACCGACTGACCATCTACTAATATGGAACAATGTTCCCACCAATGGGTCAAAGTGCCAAAATAAATGTCAGGAAAGGTCGTCCCCCTGTTGAGTTCGGCTCTCCTTCAGGGTGTTGCTGGAGGACATGAGGCTGAGATGACCGAGAGACGCCTTGATGAAGAACGGAAGCCATTGCCAGGATGACCCGCCATCCCTGTGC